TCTGATTCCTGTAGGAAGCCCGAGACGTCATCGAAATTGTCTGTCGTATAATAATATTTATCATTTTTATCTTTGCAAGATTATTTGTGATTAATTTTGTGATTGTGTTATGTTATTCTACAGTGGCTCAATGCTAAGGTGAACATTAGACTTCAGAGAAGTCCTGGGAGGGAAGTCGTAGGAAGTCTAGTGTAGTGTAGTCTTGTCTAGTAATACTAAAGTGTAGTAATAGTTGAGTACTATAGTTTAGTGTAGTCTTGTCTAGTATAATGTAGTCTTGTCTAGCACTGAGTATAGTGTAGTTTAGTGTAAAACAGATATTTGGGGGAAAACTGATAGTAAATAAGAAATAAGAAGTGTCTGTGTATAAATACAATTGAAGGCAAAATATACTGTCAGTGTGTATAAGATAAAGTTACAAACTATGTTTCACACCACAAGTAAGCAGAAACATGTAGGCCATTAGCAAAATTAATCACCTACATCTCAAGCCACGATATGTGGAAACTGGTGGCACTCATTGGGAAAATTAAATTCTTGGCGGGAGGTTAAAAATGTTAGAAATTAAATGATTTTTCTGTCATTTTGGTTTACTGAGTTTTGTGTAGAATTTTAACCGAGTCTGCAAACTGGTTCACTATCATTAATCAAGGATGGTTTTCTTGTTCATCAATAATTCAAATTCACTAGGCCCTTATTTCTAAGTATATGTAAGTTCATTAAAAATTATTGCAATACCCAAAGAAATCCCAAATATCAATAAGATGGTTAAAGAAGCCTAGCAATTGTCATATATTAGGTCAATAGAGCAGGCCACAGTATTTAAAGTAATAATTTAAAGTGCTAATTTAACTCTTTTTGTGGAAACAAATTACTTCATCAGAACATCATAAGCTATTTTACTGTACTAGTTTGCAAATTAATCAAATTGCATCTTAACCTACATAACATAGCACGAAGAAGCTATTATATTTATATCACAACAAGTTAAGTTTTGTAGTAATACAAATTGTGCACTTTAGAATGGAATAGCATCACATATAGTTCAATATGAAAACAACTGAGAGGGAGTTAGAATCAGATGATCTGAAGGTTATAACTTGTAAACTAACCCCAATAAAAAAGAATCAAAACTCCCTATTTTATTGTCCTGCAAAACTTTGTACCTTTCAAAAAATGTGTTGTCAAATTGAAATATCTCAACTGGAGAAGTTCGGAATGAAAGTCATGAATACAAATGGGTTAAGTGAGGGAATAAAGTAACTTATTAATTATGTGACTAGCACTCTTAATTAGAAATTCATGATTTTCAAAGTAAGCAGAGACAGAAAAAGCATGAAATATGACATCTTATACAGCAAGGTTATTATATATTGTATTCAGAGCATGATAATTCCTTGTTTTTCACCAAATATCAATACCAGGTTTTGTTTTCCAGGGATTGAGGTCCCTACGGATTTCCCCTAGACTTCTCTTCTATCTAAGATTCATTTGTTTTATTCTGTTTTTATTACTGAGGCTTAAAAGGTTCTTTGTTGAGGAGAGATTATAACAGTATATTGATGACGTTGACTTCTTGGACCTCGTTCTTAAAACAATTCAGTTGTCATGAAATTCCACTCTCTTTAGCATGAAATAGGGATGAATTCCCAAGGAAATATGTATACAGTTTAAACTCCATAACCTAATTTTTACGAGAATGTTTTTTGAGAAAGTTTAATATAGGATTTAGTGGTGAAATTAAGAGAAAACTATATTTTGTGCCGTTATAGTTTTATGGGGAGAAAGTATGGTAAGGCCATAATTTCCACTCCATAATTTTTTGATAACTCAGTCTATTGTTTTTATTCCTGGTTTGAGATTTAGAGGTAGCTGTTGAGAGGTCTGTGGTGAATATTTTGTGATGAGGATTTCACTTCTGTTTTTGCTTAGAGTTTTTATTATTACAAGATAGGCACCAGGGAGTTATTATATTAACAGAAACATGCCAAGAACACAATAAATCTTATCAATTAATAAAAAACAAAAAATAATTAATCTTCAAATGTATAGGAACAATGTAATTTATTTTTCTATGCATTGTACTATTTTGTTTTGAAGTAACAGATGCATTGTGTTTTAATAAAACAAGAGCAAGCAGTACAACCTCTCCTTATGCAAAAGTTGCCCCCCCCCCACCTCTTAGAAAATCCATCAGATGGAGCTGAAGAGTGACACAAATTGTGACATTCTACTAATAAAGTTCAGAGGTTAGAAATAGCTGTACTAGCAAGTGTAGATGAAGCCCTCTTTTAAAGAAGTGCATCAGAGTAGTTGTTGTTAATGTTTCATCATATCTAAGAATGGCAATGAGACTTGCTGCAGAGTGTGAGGAACTCCCACTTTGCACCAGTTAATAACTTAATGGTGTGAATTATTACAAGACAATGATCAATGCTGACTCTCAATCTTAAGTAGGGATAACTGTTTCTCAAATCAGAAGCTACGGAAATAATCTTGTCTCAAAATTAAGGCTGATATTTTTGCAGGAAACAATGTGATGGGAAAATATTGTTTTGCTTTCTAAGGTAATGGACAAGCTTGGGCAATAATTTAGAATTTGACATAAGAGGATTTATTGCTTAAATCATTTTTGTATTATTCCTTTTTCCTCCTTATTTACTAATTTAATTGTGTATTTGCATGTATTAACAATAAATAAACGAAATAAATTAAAACTACCATTTTCTGCTTGATATGTAAAATGACATGCAAATATAAAATAAATTATGAAATTATACAATCTGATTATTAAAACAATTGCATTTTAAGGAAGAAATATATTACAAGGCATCATGGGTAATGATATCCTTTGTATTAAAGATGTTAGTCTAAGTGTTGATGCCAATGATTGACGATTGCCTTTATATAATATGCAATCAACTGTCTTTTTCTGCCCCAGAATTTTTGAGATACCAATGGAATTCTAGTCTAGTTACAATTCCCTGTGCCCCCCCCCCCCCCTTATCACACACTACCACTCTGCCACTACAAGGTGCAAATTCCTCCCAATGTTGCTTCTCCATCCGTTACCATGACAATCAATCAGCCATGAAACAAACAAACTGAACCACAGAGGCTGTTGTAATAACTAGAATAACATGATGAATCCTTCTTCTAAAGCAAAATCATTTTGAAAAGTGTATCTTACTGTCAAACAAATGAATTATGAAACTAGTTTTTATTGTTTTTTTATTTGTCTGTATTGTCAATGAGGTACCTTATAATACTCATTACAACTGATCACTATCTAGTAATTCATGGAAAACAATTCATTCACTCCTAAATGAGAGACAAAATGAAATATTAAATTGTTGTAGTTATGTAAAAACAATTGGATAGTAATATTTCTGCTATTTCTTGGGTGCAATTCATCTTCATTATTTGTCATTTTTCCTCTCTAAAAACAATTCTATTTTGTAAATTAATTTTTGATTCACAGTCGGTTTGATTCGGTCATGAAATATTCATAATTTTTTTCTCAATAGAGACTTTTTCGCCCTTGAATGAAACAATATTCTCATCACATTTTGTTCATTATATTTCTTTCAATATAATGAGATCTGTTTGATTGGAATGCACATGTTTGCATGATTAATCTAATGCACTTTAAGTCTATCATTATTCCTAATTTTATTTTATCCCTGTTTTGGCTATTTTTGATTTTTAAATCTGACTCAATAAATTCTTTTCAGAGTTGGTGTTTTAGCAGCAATCCAGGATCACATACTTAATTGTTATTCCTAGCAATCCCAGAATGGTTGTATTTATATTGCTTTATGTATCAATTACGAAATGAATGGAAATTAAATTGCATCGTACTCAAGAGTACTTTAGTGTACAAAAAATGTAATACATTCCCCAGATCATCAAACAATCATATTTGTTTTTAGATTTGTCAGAGTAAAATACAAGCTGATTTTAAGTGTTAGGGGTTTGTCTTCAAATCTTCAATCAACTGAGAATATGATGTACAGAGTCAAAATCAAACTGATAAAAAAGGTACAAAATGATATTTACTATACTCTGTTTTGAATTCTAAAACTGAAATATATGACAGAAATATGCTTAATTCAATTAAAAATAAAAATTGACCACATTTTATATTTCAGAATTACATATTGTGTAAAATCAAATTTCATCAGAGAATGAGTAATAAGATTTATTTCAATAACATGTTTGAGACTTAGAAAATTCAAAGAAGGTGACATTTTAACATACAAAATATCAGTTATGCCTACTGGTCATATTCATCAACGTATTTATTCATTTTCAAATTATCATAATAAAGAATCATTTTTTAGAATTCATCAAAATGTCTATATATTTATGTTTTCTGTCTTTCAATGTTTTTTGCAAGCAATTACATTTTATTTATTTGAAATTTATTCTGAATCTCATAAAAGATGATATTAATATATTTTGAATTTTAACAGATGTCGAAAGTCATTTGATACTTTAAGCAAAAATTTATTGCCATCTACAGATTTTTCTAAACTTTTTTTATGATCATAATATAAAGGGCCTGTTTTTATTGGAGAAATTAAACTTGTGTATATCATATATTGTATTTCCCAAATTCCAATAAGCTTCTTTTTCTAAAAAAACAAATTCATATGAAAGTAGTCTGATAATTTTACATAATGGTAATGTATGTTTACTGCCTGGAAGACTAGCCTATATATGAATTAAAGATATAAGAGGTAGCCTACATACAATAACATAGCATCCTATGTACTATTAGAAACTCATGCGTAATGTCTTACTAAAGGTGAATCAAATGATTGTCGCGTGCGACTTTTGTCAAAGCAAAGGGTGAATTACACACGTGATCAATATCTCCAAACAGACTTTAACCAATAAGAGTATTTGAACGAGTAGTTATGATTGGAGATATCTGCGTGGAGATTTTGTGTGTACATTAGAACATGCTGTCAGTGGTTTCATTTCACACTTCAGATCTGACAGAACAAGTGGAACTTTGAAATATCTGAAGAATAAGTTTATTTCTAATCAAGTCAACTAGATGGACAATTTTGATGATTTGTGCTAATTAATTGGACTTCAGAGCAATTAAAGTGCAATTAGTGATCAGTTTTAGACTGAAAACAATTAGACTACTGATTGAAAAACTTTGCAGAAACTTGGAAAGCTGAAATTTCTCAGCTGAATAGACACATTTCAATTCATATTGATTGAGGACTTGAGAAAGATTTGCAGTTAGAAAATGGATGGGCCGACAAGTATTTCATCTTCGCAGCATCACAGTCCAAGACCATCACCCCCACTTCATCAGGTTGCTCCGCAGACCCAACAGATCTCCCCACCCATGGGGTTAGGGGCGCTACATCACAGTCCCATTCCTGCCCATGGAATGCCACATACAGCTGCAATATACCCGATCACACACAAACTTGACAAACCAGCCTACAGCACACCTCCGCCAGTTACAAGTAACCCAGAGAACAATACATGTAAAATGATTGAATACAGAGGTGCAAAAATCGCAGCGTTCACTGTAGATGGGCGAGAACTTATCTGTCTCCCACAGGCATTCGATTTGTTCCTGAAGCACCTAGTTGGTGGTTTACATACTGTATATACAAAACTTAAAAGACTTGATATAACACCGATTGTATGTAATGTAGAGCAGGTACGCATTCTTCGCGGATTGGGTGCAATTCAGCCAGGCGTAAACAGATGCAAACTTATCTCTCCAAAAGAGTTTGATATTCTTTACGATGACTGCACTAACTCAAGGTATGTTTCTTTAATGTCACTGATTTTTGCTTAATAATACTTAATAATTTATAGTCATATATTTTGTAACTAATTCAGTTTACACAATTTTATTGTGAACTCGTGAAAGCAAATAATTTACATAACAACAGAGTTGTCTCAAGTGGAAATTACATTACCCAAAAAAATATTTGGAAATTATTGCTTGTCAGAGGTTCTTCAGTATTAAGTTGAGGTAGTTGCCATGGTAACCATTTAAGTTAAACTTTCATATTAATGGGTGACGCTAAAAATTTAGTATAAAGGTAATTACCTATTTCAATTACTGAACAAAAGGTGTTGTATGATATTAACTAGTTAAATGAAAAATTAATACATGATAAATTGGCACTCCGTAACTTTTGGTTTCAGTTTACAAATCATCTTTAAAATCTACTTCAGCCATCAGTTTTTTCTAAGAGAAATTCTATATTTTGTTGATTTTATCTTTTATGTAATTTGCATAATTTTCAAATCACTATTATATTTGATTCTAAACATTAGGGAAATTTGATTGTTTAGATATTTAATTATACTTGCTACTCATGCTTGATGTATTAATAAATTGCGATGTGTCACTGGTTTATTGTATAATAACAGCATTAATTGTACAATAATTGTATTAAGAAGCTTTTCAAATCATCTAATTAGCATATCGAGGATAATTCAATTTTGAAATGCATTAAGATGAAATTAAAGAATATGGTCTACACCTGCTTATGTCGCAACTTTGATGCTTTTTATAAAAACTTTTGTAACAGTTCTATACGATTGAAAAGAATCGAGGAATTTCCAGTTCGTTGGATCCAATGTGAGAAACAAAAAATCGCCAAAATTTGCCCCATACATAGCAAGATAATGAATTCTTTGTTGCTCAATGAGCTAAAAGCACGCCATAAATTAACCTAAAATACCAGCTTTTTACACACTTTTATTTTTTATCACCACAAGGGATTCATATACGACTTGCAATTAATGAAAGAAAATTATGAGAAAAGGTCAAATAAATTGAAATAAAACCGTTTAAACGGAGATAAGAAAACAACAGTGCCTTGTTGTCAAATGATCTTTTTACGTTCAATAAAAATTAAATTACAAAGTGTTAATGTTTTATCATGGAAAACAGATTGTGGAGATTTTTTTTATCAAATAAAGAATTATTACCCATCAATTTACTTTTATTTTAATCTGTTAATATTATGACAACCATGAATGTCTATTTTAACATTCATTACATAGAAATTAGAAATATGAAAGAAACAATTGCAATTATCAGGAAATATGTACAAGTGAGTTTCTCTTAGAATATCAATGTTCAGGTGTGTGGAAATATTAGGACATAATGAGTAACTAATTGAACAGAATTGCATGTTTATCAGCCTTGAATCTACTAGGAAACATCACAATTCCTATTTACCTCTTTAACTCCTGTTTATCTTATACTGAAAATCAATTAGAATTCATGACATAGAAGCTAAAATTTAATATGTGATTATTTATTCATTAGTGACATAAATACCCTTATTTGCTAGTGTCACATTATAACTGGTAGATCTTTTATTTACATGCTGCATATTTAATTCATTGAAATACACCCTTGCTCAAAAGTTGTGTGGCAGCCACACATGGCTAAATGTCTGTGCTTGTCTCATTTGCTCAATGCTTTTTCTTCAAGACCTGGAGAAATTTTCCATTTAGAGATTTTTTATTTAATTGAGAGTATTCACTATCACTGCTATGTAGTTTTTCTTGCAGATTCCACTCTTTTTCTGGTTTCTCTGTTTTTCATTTTAAAATATAATCACCATAATTTTATTCTATTAGGGTAGTGTTGTAGAAACATGATGATTATGCAAATTGTCATATTTTAACATTTTTCTTTTCTTTACTCTATTTCTTTGGTTTCCAAGGTGACATCAAAATGGTAAGCAAGTATTGTTACTCTGTTTGATTATTGAATATCAAAATTGCAATAAAAATATACAATGGTAGATTAAGTGAGATGCAAGGGGTTGAAATGAAAGTCTTTAATTTCATGTTAATTCTCTAATTACCATTCATCTCCTACATTATTCTTATCAGTTACAATCATATTGTTACATTCAATTGGTCAATTTTATGCAAATCTGAATGATTTAATTACAACAGGAAATCCACAAGTTTAAATCCTGTACTAATATATCCAAAATTGGAAATTAAAAAGTATGAAAATCATCCAAATAGATAAAAACATCAATCATAGATTTAACTAAGATTGGTTCAAAGAGAAATGCGATGAAATGAAAACATATATGGAGGTGGACAACAGGAAACTAAAGGAATTGATCAGATTCAGTGTAGGCTATTGTCTTTGAATAAACAGATCAACACCATTAGCCTCTAACAGATAAACAAGTTAATATATTCAAATTTTATTTGAATTCATTTACATTATTTGATTATCCTCATCACACAGTGGTATAACTTCTTCTGGCATTTCACCCCCCTCCCAAGATAACCGACTGCTATTTATATTTCATAATTTTTCCTTGAAAAATTGAAACAGGTTTCTCATATTAGTTGATAATTAAGTAATTTAGGTCATATTTTACCAGCAGGTTTAATTAATTCCTTGTTAGTTTCTCTCTTTTTGTCACTTTTGGGATAAAACCATGATATCTCACATGGTTTTGTCAAGAGAGAAATGTTACCAGAGACAGCCACATCTTGGTACTATCCCATTCTTAAAAAGTAATTCAAATCATGGTATTCCACTCCCGTCCTCTAAAACTGGTTAAGTGTCTGACTTAATTCCACTGCTATATTATTCAGAGTTCTGACTTTGTAGCTCAATTCACAATTCCTTGGTGATTTCATATAATTTCTCTCTATTTTGGACATGACAGGTATGAAATGTTATTTGCAGGTAAGTTGGTAATCGGTGCCCCTTCATGATTTGTTTTTGGAATTAAACCCTTATATATAATTTGTTTTATGCATTAGCCCCTTTAAATAAATCACTTCCACTTCCAACTGTTTGTCATTTCAACTTCTGCGGCCAATTCAAACCTTTCTTTTAACTGCTCTGTTTTTCTTAAATGACATATTTCAGGTATTTTCTGCTTCACAAAATCAAAATATAAGACATTTGTGTTATTGGGCGTGATGAACATATTCTAAATGTATAAATCAGAAAAATTGATTATGACAGGTTGTCTAATGTTAATATATTATAGAATTTTATTATTTCCAAGAGTCATATATTTAAAGTTTATCTAAAAGTAAATGAGCTAACAGTTTAAAACAACTGTTTAACTTTCCGATTGTCTGTCAGGAATCCAAATTGAGCAGGAGTGAGTGTATTTGAGAAATAGTTTGGATTTGATCATTTCATTAAGGTAAATACAGACTGTTGAATTCAGATTCCTATTACATTAGTGCGTAGAATAGATGCTAGAAATGTGAGGAGGGCAAAAGTTGGCAAATAACATTGTTGTTTTGACAACTCCGCATTACTACTTTTATTTCAAGTGGTTTTAAAGGTGTGGCATTTAAGTTAAATCAACTGTTATCCAAATGAATATTCATTGATAGCATCGGATTTAAGACTATTTTTTTAAAAATCAAAATTGCAGTTTGAAAGTTTTGATAATCACAATTTTAAGAAATAATTTGGTTGCCTTGGAGACCATATGTTTGCTGTTCATGGCAACAGGTAACTTAGGGACCTGTCATTCAGTGAAGTAATTTAAGTGATGACTGATACTTACTGGAGTTTATTTTAAAATATCACAGGAGATTCATAAATGAAAGAAGTACTCCAAACACTAATGAAATATAAATGTTGTTGAGTTGCAGTCCAGGGAAACAAGTCACATCAGGATTCAGTTGTTGAAATTAAAGCATGTTCTCATTTGTCAAAGACAAAGTTCTTCATCAACTTTCCCCTAAAGCCTGGTTTAAGTTTAATTAGAGAAAATTTTATCAAACATACATTTTTTAGCATTTGGATATTTGGTGTCAAATGACACTTAATCGAGCTCAAGGGGGAAGAATCAGGAAAAATCTGGAGGAAATCTCCAATTTAAACATTTGTTACCCTGATGAATAATTATTCCTGTCATTTGTTAATTGGCCGAAGAATCACAATTGGAAACATAAGTCTACTGGTAAACAATTCTCATCAGAGATTGGAAACTTTTCATGAATAATTGTTTAAAATTAGTGTGAAAAATTAGTGGAGTTGTTAATGAAAATGATGACATGTGAGATAAGATGGAGTGATCCCTTTCTGTGATGAGAATATCTTGGATGGTCAGTTGGGGGGGGGGGGTCATGTTTTTAGTTGCAAATTAATATGAAAATAATGAAATTAGGTAGAAATTAGGAATTATACTCAGCTAGAAGGTATTTTATAAATTTATGTTCCAAATCATAATTAAACATTCAAAGATACATTATATTTTGTAAATGTGAAAACTCTTTTGCTCTACCTACTGCACCCACCCAGGATGTTTCTGACTCTTAGACAAATACTAGAGTATTATTTAAAGTATTTGACAAATCTAAACAACTTTGTTGTTAGAAAAATTAACAAGTTTGCCAGATTTATGTGGCAGTTTGTCAACAGGCCCATTCTTAACAAATTAACATTGTCAACAGATCTTACTGGATTATTAAATGGAGAACTTCCAGATCGCATCAAATTCCCAAGTCAAAATATAAGAATGTCATGGTAGGCATGTTTTAAAATGCAAAATAGAGTGAAAATTCATGGAATCAGCAAGGAGTAAAGTGATTAAACATGTAGTTAACACTCAAAGTTATTTAGAAATGTCAGAAAATATTGGAATTCATGCAAATTCTTGAGAGAAATAGAGTGAAATAAGCATGAACAGTCGGACATATCAGGCAAGGGTCATACTCATTTGAGATTTACATGTTGTCTAACACTGCCATGTTTAATAGTGTTAGTAGTTTTTTATAGCCAATTATCACCAATT